GAGAGAGAGAGAGGCAGAGGGAGAAGCAGGCTCCCAAGGAGCAAGGAGCCCGATGCGGGACTCGATCCCAGGACTCTAGGATCATGACCTGAGCCGAAGGCAGATGCTTAACCATCTGAGCCACCCAGGCGCCCTGATTTAGACTTCTTAATTGTTAGTGCTAATAACTAAGATTGTAAACAAAAGGAAGTTATCCAAAATAAAAAGAAGTTTTATTTATGAAAAATAAGTTAGTCATTTCTCTATCAAGCCAAAAAGAGGTCAATGGACAGGAAGATCTTGGCCGTCTCAGTAGGTTTGTCTAAACCAGCACACACACAAGCAGAAGATCAGACATAGGTCTGGGCAGGGTAAGCAATCTAGGACCATGTGAGCATAGTATGCAAGGATCTGGATGTAGTCAAGTCTAAGAAAGCCAGGCCAGAGCAGGAATGTAAATTCCAGGAGTCCAGGGACATAATCTGTTTCATTCATCTGTATACAGTCATACGCCAGAAATTGTGCCTAACTCGTAGAAATGAAGATTTGTTAGATAGAAAACTAATCCATCAACTAAACAGAATTCATGCAGCCATTAAAGTGTTGCTGTAGATATAAAGGTATTGATATACCAGAAAGTGAAAGGTCAAATTGGGAATGATACTTGGAGTGTCATTCCATTTTTGTTCAGGTGTGTATATGTGTAGATATACAAATATCTGGAAAGATATACCAAAATGTCCATGTTGGTTATAATTATCTCTGTACAGTGGGGTTAGGGATAATTTTAACTTCTTTATTTATTTATTCATATTTGCAGCTTTGTTGATGAACACTGGTCACATCCATTATAAAAAGTTTTTTTTATACTATGTGTATGATATGTATAAGTGTATAATGGTGTTACTGTAAAGATCATTATCCTGGACCTCAGAATATAAGCCTCTTGCTTAATTTCAGAACTCCTAAGGAAGGCCCAGAGTTTCAGTTTGTGAAATGCTGAAGGAGTGAGAAGCTCCTCCTATTTCTCACAGCCTCCTCCAACATTTAAAGCGCTTCTGACTGCTTCCCAGCCCACACCCAACAGAGAAAACTATTGTGTCAAAGGGACAGCACCAAAAGGCAAAAGGAAGGTGAGGATAATCGCTGGGGATAGTAGCTAAAAAGGAAATGCTCAGCACTCCAAAGAATGTAAAGAGATTTGGCTCATATGGCACTAGGTTATTAAATGGTTTGGCCTTGTTAAATGAGTTGGTTTTAAATGCTAAACCAAGACATCATAAACAAAGTCTGCAGCCAAGTCTGTGAAACAACTTGGCCTCTTCCAAGGAAAGGGATGAGGAGTCTGTGACTTGACTAGTGAGGTGTTTTATTAAGTTAGTGCTACTTATTATATTGCCACTGCTACAGTGTTTCAAGCTGATTACTGGCCACACTGTGAGAGCTTTCTTACCTCTTGTCCCAGTGAAGCAGTATTGATTGATCAACTTCTTGACAGAAGACCATGGCAAAGAAGGTGGCAGTGATTGGAGCTGGGGTCAGTGGCCTGGTCTCTCTGAAGTGCTGTGTGGATGAGGGACTGGAGCCCACTTGCTTTGAGCAAACTGAAGATATTGGAGGGCTGTGGAGGTTCAAGGTAAGTAAGATCTTCACGTTTCTTGAACAGATTGTGCCTACAGATGGGCCTTATTGGGGGATTTCCTAAGCAACTTTGATCAGACTTATTTCATGCAGCTACACAGAAACTAAAGAAATAGGCTTTCATCTCTCCCAGATCATTACTGTCCTACCCCAGATGGCCAACCCAGGCATGCAAAGGACCTTTTCTTATGGATCCTGCAATTTCCAGCCCACATTCTTGTGATTCTCAAAGCCACATACTAATATTCGAGAGCGTATTACAAAACAGAAGTGACAGGAATTCTTTTCAAGATGCCACTTACATTCCAATCACTGAGCAGCTGCTTTTTCAGAGAGTGTGCTCTTACTACTACTGACTATTTTTCTCTGACAAATAAACCATATTTGTTTGCTTAGCTTTATTGATGACACTCTAGGGTAACTGCTGGGAAACTCTTTAAAGATATTATTGGGATGCCAGGGTGGTGCAGTAGGTTAAGCGTCCAACTCTGTTTCAGCTCAGGTTGTGATCTCAGGGTCCTAAGATCGAGCCCGATATCTGGCTCCATGCTCAGCGTGGGGTCTGTTTGAGATTCTCTCTCCATCTGCCCCTCCTGCTTGTGCTCTCTCTCTTTCTCTCAGATAAATAAATAAATCATTAAGAAAAATAAAATAAAATAAAAAGATGTTATTAAATATATTCATTCAGTTCATTCTATTAGCCAAACCTAAATATTGATAATGCTATCCATTCAACAGTTTTTACATAAAAATTAGAAAGATATATAGATAGACAGCTGTATAGATTCATAATTATTCTTTCCCACAGTCTTTTGAATTTAAGTACTAGCTTGCCACCTCCTCAGTGCAAGATCTTGGGCAAACTTATTTACATCTCTATGTCTTAGTTTTCTAAGTGTAACCGGGATAATAATAGAATAGTGTAATTATTTCACAGTGCTGTTTTGAAGATTAAGGGAGATAATTCATGTAAAAAACTTAGAGTGCAATAAATGTTAGTTACAATAATTATATTTATATTTTATAGATAAGCAAACAGAACCTGAGGGAAGTTAAATAACTTGATCATGGTCACACAGCTAGAGGGATTGGCATTCAAACCCAGGTCTCTATGACTTCTAAACAGTTAACCCCCTACTTATAACCATGCCCAACTTGCATTTTTGCTCAAAAAGTTTAAACAGAAGTTCCAGCTCAGAACTCCAAAGCAATAACTTTAGGACTGTGTATCAGGTACATCTAAGTGAGGGATAGAACAGGTGAGAACACTCTAGACAAAAGCAAAAGGTTTGAATATGCTACAGGCAGATTCTGACATCAGCAGAGACCATCCAAAGGGCTCTGCCTATAAGCCGACCAGTTATGGGGAAGGCATGACATCTAGCACCTGTGCTTTGCAAGTTTGAACTGAATTTTATGCCAAAACAATTTTTTTGGTTTAAGATTTTTGAGAAACCTTAGGTTTCTTAAATGTATATGACTATAAGACACACCCAGAGGGTTTTTTAAAGATGCTTAACACCAAATAAATTATTTCATTAAATAAAGATACTTAACACCAGACCAGACTTCAGTAAGTAAGTAAGTGATCTTCAGTAAGATCAAAATCTTCTGAGGAGAGGAATCTGTTTTTAACATGAGTCCCAGATGAATCCTATGATGAGACAAGTTTGGCAAACAAATTGCACAAATACTGAATAAAAATCTATTCATTCAACTATACAAACACAATCAGAGCTAATGATGGAGATGTTGATACTTATATAGGACAGGTAACTTGCAGAGAGGAAACTGGAAAAACAGCTTGAATCACATTCATTGCTTACTAACAGCTGATCATTAGAAACATTATAGCTTTTCCTGAGAGGGTGATATAATAAGGTGGTCATTTCTGTCTTAACCAAAGATGGGTTTTTTTTGTTGTTGTTCACTCTAGGTTCACAAACAGACTCCACTGATGTTCCCCCCACCCAGGTAGATTTTTAACCTAAGGAAGAAATGTGAAGTTATAACAAATTAATATTTAATAATAAATTTGTCACTCTTTTATTACCTGATTTGGGACTTAATATCAAAAAGCCTAATGTCCCTTACTTGATTATCATCCATTTGGCAACAGAAGAGGTGAGAGTTATTTTGAATGATCTGGCAAAAATATGATTTGATGAATTCCAGGAGGATTTCTTTCTGCCCCCAAATATTTTTCCTACACAGTTCCCAGTGTCTAATATTTCAGAATTAAAGATATCTCCCTATGGGTTAGAAAAGTTAGATTACAATTTAAATTAATTAAATCTTATTAGATATAAAATGCTTAAGTATATAATTTCCTGAAACCTGTAACAATATCACATTTCAAACCTCTCAAAACTATATCCAATAAAGAAACATAAACAATTTTCTCAACTCAAACAAGACAAATAATCTCCCTGCAATGTGAAACATACAGGATGCAAAATTTCACAGGTGGCCAGTGGACCCATGTGAAGGTCTTGATTACCAACAGACCGGATTGCCCAAGGGAGGAGGTACTGAAAAGGATGCTGGAGCCACCATGCCCACTCCCCCGGGAAGTTTTGCCTCTTCGGTACTCTACCATCCAGAATCAATTTTGAAAATGGGCTATTCTTTAATTTCTATATTTACACACAATCCTTCTAAGGTCACTTAATATATTTAGTGCTGACAAGTTAAAACAAAATTTAAGAATCCTTGCCCCATGCCCAGCTCAGAGTGCGAGCTGAAGTCTTCCAAAAGGTTCTCCAGCAGCCCCTAGTGGTAGTTTTGGAACATGGGCAGGGTGGGTAATTAACATATTTTTAGCATTTTTCCAGCAATGGAAAAGTACTTGCCGTGCATCCTCTTATTTTTTCTTCACAATACTCCTAAAAAGTAGTGTTGGGGAGCAAGAACTCCTGCCCCCTCAAAAGTCCTTCCAGCTGGACTGAGTCAGATTGATGTAAGAGAGATTAACAGCAGAAAATCAAATTTAATAGATGTAGCACAGGGAATCCACATAGACGTGAATTCCAAAGACAGGCAAAATGAGGTATGTATGTCATTCTGAACTAAGGAGAAGGGGGTGTGGTTCTGGGACTTCAGAGGAAAGGAATACATTTCACAGGGCCATAAGAAGAATAGATGCTTGGTAATTAGATACTTGCCCTACCATTCAGATGGGTCACTCAGATAAAACTTATCTCTGTTAATAACCCTTACTCTGGGAAATACCCACAATTTAGATTCTTCTGTGTGGTTAAGGGAGTACAAAAGTTTCTCTTGAGCCCATCAGGTCTCAAGTGCTTCCAGCTCAAAATAATCCGCATGCCAAAGTGGCATGTTTGGGGCGGAGGGCTGTCCTGAACCCCTTCAGTAGGTATTATGATTATCCTCAAGGACATGTGAAGAGGAAGCTGAGATTTGGAATGAACAACTTGTCCAGGGGAACATAGGTGGTGGAAAAAGCACAAAAATGAAGGTCTGTAAGATACCTGAACCCCCGTAGTTGATCATCTTACTGAGGTGTTAAGAGAGGAAAGCATGATCTTCCTTTAGCCACTAATCTTCTCTGCCTCTTTCATTGTTCCTGATACCTGCATTCACAGGAAAGTTACCAATATACATTGGTTTTTTTGCTTGTTTGTTTTTTACATTTGGATATAAATATATCTTTTCCTAGCTACATATACTCAATTATTTTAATTAATCTTCATATAATAGTCTCTAAATATCTCTCCATCTTGGTTTCCTTCCTCTAGATTCAATCTGAAATTTTACTTTCTCTCTTAAAATGTGACTCCCACAAGATCCAATATTCCAAACCAATTTATTTTTATAACATATATATTTTTCAGAACTAAAAAGGTGCTTGGCATTGCTTTAGACAATGGGGAATGAATTGGACACAATCACTGCCCTCAAAGAATTTATAATCAACTGCTCTAACAATTGCCCTCTATGACTTATGCTTCACTTGGCCTGGATGGTCTGCCTCTACTAAAACAAATTTAATGTTGCAGTAGCTTTTCCTGCATTTGCAAAATTAAAGCTATCATTCATATTATTTTCACATGAATTATACCATTTTATACTCACAATACTCTTTTACATTATTTATTATTAATTTCAACTTAAATATAAGAAAACCAAGGGTAAATGGCTTACCCATAGTGACTAATAAATGGTAGTTGATAGGTCTTAGAAGTAGCCACAATAGTGAGATTAAACATACAGAAGTTCTCCATCATGCTTTGTCTCACATAACTCCAATCACTTATATTGAGTTTGAGATCAATTAAAAGTTCTAGATCTTGGGATGCCTGGATGGCTCAGTTGGTTAAGCATCTGCTTTCGGCTTGAGTCATGATCCCATG